TATACAATGCTTTGCCAACCTATCTTATAAAAAGGTTACAGAGAGTACAAAATGCGGCGGCAGGTTTTGTGCAAGGTCGATATGCAAATACGGAAAATGTATTGGATATAAAATGGTTGCCGGTAAAGGAAAGAATTGAACTTAGTATAGCAAAATTTACTTTTAAATCTCTACATTTTGACAATTGGCCATCGTATTTATCAGTCCATGTGAAGCATCAGGGAAGGGTATTACGTAGTAGTAATAATGGCAGGATGTTAGAAATTCCTAGAACAAATAATACATTTGAACATTCTGCAGCTACCATATTTAACAGTCTACCACAAGAAGTTAGGGACAACTCATTTTATCGTAGTTACGTTAAGGAAGTCAAAATTGTGCTCACGGAAAGGGCGCGTACTCGTATTTTAAATTAAATTTTTGAGTCTTAATAGTTGGATGAATAACCATGTAATATGGAAATGCCTTATTAAACCATTATTATTATTATTATATTAAAAATTTGGCCGGTCATTGACCAGTGACCCCCCTGTTATTTTGAGCCCTTGGTTAATATAGAAGCATGAAAGTTAACTTATCAAATGGTCAAAACACCTATGAGATGCAACAATATTCTAGATGTCTTTATAACTAACGTTCCGCATTATTGGAAAAACGTACAAGTGAAAAAATGTCTATTAAGATCTGATCATAACATTATAACATCTCAGAAAGATGCTATAAAAGCAGAAAGAACACATTTATTATTCAGAGACGTGCGAGACCATAGAAAACAAAGAATGTTTAATGATTTAGACTCTGTTGATTGGACTAAAATAATAAACGAGGAGCTTTCCTCTGATGAGATGGCTGCTCAATTTTATGAAACTCTATGACTATGGCCTAAATTTGAAACTTGTTTTCCACTAATAAAAGTTCGATCATCATCGCGTGACCCACCGTTCATGTCTCCGCTTGTTAAGCACTTGTTAAAAAAGAGAAAGCAAGCAATGAAAACGAATGATGAAGAGACAATTACTCGTTTGCAGAATCAAATTACTTATCGTCTTATCCACTCCAACCCGGTTAATGCTGTTAAAAATGGATCTAAGAAATGGTGGAGTAAAGTTAACAGCATGATTGGAAGAAAAGGAAACACTTTACCAGTTAGTTCTATAATACCTACTTTCAAGGCATAAATACTGAGCCTGAATACACTGCTCCCCGGTTGCTGTCGATCCCTAAGGACACCAGAGTTGCCTCATTAGACATGGTGCATAATTTTTTGCGAAAATTGAAACGCACAACATCGGGTCCTGATGACATACCATACTGGTTTTGGAAGACGTACGCAGTGATATTCACTCCTGTTATAACGAGAATATTTAATACTTCTCTGAAGAGTGGGAAGATTCCGAATGTTTGGAAAAGAGCTGATGTGATACACAGTCCAAAAGAAAACTCAATTAATTCCTGTTCCCAACTTAGACCTATCTCATTAACCGATATCATTATGCGCCTATTTGAGAAATGTGTGTATCAAAGTGAAGTTGCTGATACAGTGTATAATCAATTTGCATATAAAAAAGGGCATAATTCCACCATGGCCCTATATAAAATATCAACATATGTGGTTAAAAAGCTTTGATGAAGGTGCTAAATCAGAGTAATCTCATTTGACTTTAGTAAAGCATTTGATAGTGTCCCACATGGTATTTTGTTTAATATAACTCAACCCATTAATCCATATATTATAAACTGGATGATTGACTTTTTGAACAACCGCAGACAGAGAGTGAAAGTTGATGGTGTCACAACTGAATTTCTTATCTTTAATCGTGGCGTACCCTAGGGTACTGTATGGTCAATGATATCAAGGCGGTGAATCTCTCCAATGATTTATCTAAATTGCTGCATGATGATATTGCAATAATAGCACCAGTTTATGATTACGAAGATTCAGCTGGGGATGAAGTAGAAAACATGAAACTATTGTCAAACGAGAATAGAATGTCTTTAAACATGGAGAAAACCTATGAAATGATAGGAAAAGTGTCTAATCCCCTTCCGGATCACATTCCATCCATAAAACGGAACGAATGGCTCAAATTATTGGGTGTCACGATGGAAGAAATACCTGGGAAACTGGATAAACATGTTGAAGAGATGATGAAAAAAACTAGTAGAAGAATGTATATTCTAAGAGTTTGTAAACATTACGGACTCTCTACGCATCAATTGAATCTTCTCTTCAATAGTCTCTCTTTTCACCTTTGCAGCTGAAGTTTGGGGTGGAGCATCGTACAACAAATACGTAAGTCAGATTGAGAAGTTTGTCAATCGTGCCTATAGAAATGGTTATACAAGCATGCAACAGATCAGATTTTAAAGCAACAATATCGAACCGAGACAAGAAATTATGGTCAAGAATTATAAATGATGATAACAATGCTTTACACAATCTTTTACCTAGTAAATTAAATCGACCTTTAAGACGGAGAGGTCTTGACTTTGAACTACCAATTGTTAAAACTGAGAGATTCAAAAACGCGTTTATAAATATATGTCTTTTCAATGTTATATAAACTATATATTTATATTCTTGTACCTTAGAATTTTAAAGTACTAAAAATTGATGTAAATAACAGTAACAATCCAGTAATTGTGGTATTCTTAATATGTAAACCCAGACGTTTGCTTTGAGTATTGAAATAAAGACTTTTATTATTATTAAAAAGCAATTAATTTAATACTAAATGTAATGAAAGCATTTTTTAACCGCCCTATTATTTTAATAGTATATATTAATAAGATACTACATAGTACGTTTAGTAGTAGTCTGATAATTAAATGTAGATATATTCAATTTGCTGTTTCATGATATACACTAGCTAGCTGTGTTACTGATATGAGTACTCATACCCAGGTCAGGTGGGCAATTGCTAGTATGTATGTTTCCGTTTTTATATCAATTTTTAAAATAAGTTAGGGTTTTGTTTTGCGTTAGGATAGTTTTTTCTACGTTATAAAAACGGAAACCTTATTTTGAAGTATACTGTCTAGCAATCACTTGCAATCACCAAGTCAGGTGGCCGTGGCACCGAACATAAGAGAAAATAGCCTGGGTATGAGGTTGCCGCGAGTACTATGACAAAAATTTTCAAGATAAAATAGTTTATAACTTAATGATATTACTATATAATATGTGGTGTATGAAATGTTGATTCATGTTCTCAGCAATAATTGCCACATGCAGTGAGCATTTGCCATCATTTCAAAACAACTATTGTGATGCTATGCTAGCCTCAACATCAGTTATTTGAATAACTAAATTATATAAGTTCTCGACGATTAAGAGATGCCTGCGGAGGAGACTAATGCTATGCATGCGCCGGTTAACTCATTAAAGTTGCTGACTGCATGTTGCAACATTGGCACCCGCCCTCTAAGTTGCAAGGAATATGGCGAATTTTAGTTACTATCAAGTGCCTTTACAAAAATACCTTGAAATAAAAACCTTGAAATTTGGCAGTGGGTTAAAGTGATAAATAAGTTTTCATTTCATGTGTAAATGAACACAAAGATCCTCATGAATAATAAGTTCTGTGTGTATGAATTTTACAAATGATTAATTTCTGAACAGCAGCGATTGATTTAAATTTCTGAACAATTTACTTTTGTAATTTAGGGCATGAAAGCTTGAATTACTATAAATTCTGATATTTTAATCATTTTCTTTTTGATATTTGTTTTCAAGGATTTTAATTCTGAAAGCACATGGGGTTGTGTTAATCAAAAATGCTGAAATTTTGTGTTGGATATTTTTAACTTGACGAGTCAAAGTCATGTAAATATAAAATAGCTTGTGTCCTGATATGAAAAATATTTTGAAAACAAAAATCACCATCAAATGTACGCCATAATCAGTTAGCTATTTGGTTAATTTTTCAGAATATCAAATATTTATATAGCTAATCTACACAAACCAGGTTTTGGGGAGAAATTTGGAGTTTTTGGTGATATTTAACAATTATTGGATGATGTTTTTGTGATATGCGGAATTATCAAGGTCTGAGCTCTATGGCTGAGCTGAAGGCGAGGCTGATAAGTGATAACGCTTACCGAGACCTCAGTTGATCATTTTGCATATCGCAAAAACCGAATTCAATAATTGTTTTATTATACATTTGAAGAATAATATACATAATATTAACGCATGAAAAACTTTATTTATGAAAACCTATCCATATTCACATTTTTTCTACGTTTGTTCAAAATTTTGCTTTGCTAGTTTCCCTTTTTTTGTTTGTGTTAAATAGATACCGCTTGCTAATCATTGCAGGCTCATTTGCAGATAAACTCAGTTATCTGCTATCTGATAACTGAATTTTGTGTGCAATATTTTTAAATGTAAGCTCTTGGCCAATCAAATTGCTTTTACCAACAACAATGTATAATAATATTTTTGTTTACCTGTTGATAGACTTTCCCAAAGTCCTTTCCAGTTTTTTTCCGCGATTCGTCTGGCAAAGAGCCAGTCTTGTTTATTTAAAAAAAAACACTATATTACAGCAAAATAACTACATGCAAACATTGAAAGGTTTTGTCTATTATTAAGACTATAACTTTATTGATGCCATTCCATAAAACAAGCACGCTCTCTACAAAGATTTACATTACATTGGGCACACTTATATTTACTTTCAAACGTTCTTCCCGACGCACGCTTCCTTCCAGCTTTTGCACACATCACACACGCTCGTTTTCGCTCTGAAGACAATACTAAGCTATGGCCCTTGACATTTCTACCCACTGGAACATCTTTTTTACGGCTAGTTGGAGCACTAGAAATTCTCTTGTAGCCGTTATAGTTCGAAATAAGTTGCCTTGCCAAAGCAAGACGGAAATCTAAATGTTTTAGGCGACGGCGTCGATCTGTCTGCAAATTTTGCAAAATAAAACCGTTTACAATCGAAATATTCACGAAAAACCAAGCCAAATATTTCCACCACTTTTTAGATTGAGCTCCTACAGGGTAGTAGCTCCTATATTGGTCGTTTACATCTACGCCGTTCATAAATTTATTGTAAAAAGAAATGACGGCAGGTTTTACGCGCAAATTATCTGGAACGGCTTTTCTTTTAGCTGTGCGCTCATTTAAAGGGCCGAAAACTTCAGGCTGTGGATCGACATTGGTCGATAAAATCGTCACTAAACGCTTGTCCTGCCATGTCATGCAAACTAAGTTTTTATTTTGTCGTGTTCGAATCTCACCGCGTTTAAGTTTTACCTTTTTCAAATCGGCCGGAAATTGTTTCCTATTATGGCGCAAGGTCGAGCATGCGTAAGTTTTATTTTCAAGCAAATGTTCGAGTAAAGGAACGGAGGAAAAATAATTATCGAAGTAGAAGTGACGGTAAGTATTATAGTAGGGTTTTCCCAGGAAATCAACAACTTTAAAACCGAGACCTCGCGCCCCTACCGCATCATTTTCATCGGCATTTTGTTGTTTACCTAAGTAAACTTGAAAGCGCGGCACGAAGTAAGTTTCAGAATCGGCTAACATCCAAACTTTAATACCAAATCTATTCGGTTTTTTAGGCATATATTGCTTGAAAGATAAACGACCATTAAATTTAACCAAACCTTCATCAATCGAAATGTTTTTTCCAGGCACATAAACATCTTGAAAAGCTTTGTCGAGCTTTGAAATAAGGGGCCGAAGTATTGCAAGTTTGTCTGTTGGATTTTCTTGCTGCGGGTCCGAAATATGAAAGTACCTATTCAAAATCAAAAAACGTTTGGAAGGCATTGTTGTTTTAAAGCCGGCATTTCCTAAAAACAAATCTGAATCCCAGTATGACCGAATTGTTGGTAGTCGGTTAATCCCCATCAAAATATTTAGACCAAAAAATGCAGACATTTCGTCGCGGTTGGTTGTAAAATTTTGATCGTTGTGATTTGAACGCGCATACGAAATTGTAGCATGCACAATATGATCGAAAAACTGATCGCCGAAAAACAAGTCGAAAAAGTCCTTAGGGGAAGCGTCTAAACCCAAGCCATGTCGAGGACCAAAATCGGCAGTAAAGTCTTCAACACTAACGCTACTTAAATTATCTTTCCATTCAAAAATATCATCAAAACCATCGCTACTTATCTCGCTTCCACTTTCGCTCACACTATCGCTGTCGAGTTCTTGAACTTCGATGTCCGAAAAACCGTCAAAATCCTCTTCTTCTTCGTCCGAGTCGCCCGCTATCTCTCGCCATGAAACCATCGATGTTCCCGCTGCGATTGGCCGTGTTTCTTCAACCGTTTCGTCCATTGAAACCCCCTCGAAATTGCTTTCGTCCTCACTACTCTTGAACATACGAAGTGCTTCAGCCATAATCAAAAACTTTTCGCAAAAATATATTTTAAAACGCTCGTAATTTGCACAATATGAACTGCACAAGGTCTCGTTACTCTCGTAACTTTCGTTTGAAACAGCGGATTAGGATGTTTTTATAGGTGCCCGTTGCTAGGCAACACGGAATGCATATCATGGAATGCATTATCACGAAATGCATTTCATTTGGCCAATGAAATTGACTCACTCAGGGCGCATGCGACTTACCCCGTTCCCAATTCCAGGACGCACGAGGGCGCAATGTGACGAATTAAATGAAAAACCACTAGCTGGATAAAAAATTCTATGATAAAAATATATATGACTGTTAAGTAATTTATGTTAATTACAATGGTCTTTGTAGTAACCCATTAAGCAGTAAGAGCTATCAAGGATGCAAATGATTTATTGGTCAGAGTGGTATTGTGCTATATGTGGGTGTGTTAAGTACGCACTTAACTGATCATTTAATGCTAAGACTTATCCTGTGAAAAATTCAGATTTTCCTCAATGTTTATACATATAAATGACAGTTGCTCTTTAATTCATGTATCACATTCCTAAGACGTATCCTACTGACATATAAACACTTAGGAAACAAATAAAGTGGGAAACAAATGATGAATTTGTAGTAAATTTGAAATATTACTGTTGAATATTGTGCCCTCTTCCTCTACTTAGTCAAATATTGAGTTTCAAGATGGAACTTCTATCAGTGGAATCTGTTCCCTGGCATCCCTGCTTTATTTCATCACGTTATCAGCTGCATATTGAGTTAATATATTAATGACACATTTTCGTTGGCAAGTTATCAGGTTATATCCATTCAGGAATATTGGCAAATCTAGTGCCAAAAAAAGTAAATTATCATGTAGGCTGTGCTGAGTGGTTATATTACTACCTTAAAAAGCAAGCAGAAACTCGACGTTTCGAGCGAAGGCCCTTCGTCAAGAGTTAGTAGCAGGGATCGGGGAAAATGCACGGACTTTTATACTAAAATGCTGTGCTGAGTGGTTATATTACTACCTAAAATAATAAGCAGAAACTAAGAGTATGAAAGCATCACGTGACAAAAAATAAACCAATTAGATGGATTTAATAATAACAAAGTGTAAACAAAATATGTAAATCGCATTATGCAAGGCCTTGCCTATCTATAGCAGACATTGACAGCATTTATCTATGTATTACTTTTATTTTTACCTTATTCCCACTTGTGTTTTGTTTTGATTATTTTTTATATTAGTTGTCTTGGCTTCCTTTATATTTTTTGTTTCATATTATATTATATTCTGTAATGCGATTTACATATTTTGTTTACACTTTGTTATTATTAAATCCATCTAATTGGTTTATTTTTTGTCACGTGATGCTTTCATACTCTTAGTATAAAACGTTACTATAACATTACATACACAACTCTACTACACACACCTAGTGCACCACAATTTACGTCCTATGACACGAACAGTCACGAAACAAGGACCACGTACATGACAAGTCAACATCATAAAAAATAGAATCAACAATACTAGAGTATCTACGTTTAACTAAACATTTAAAAGAACTAGGATTAGACACAGTGTCCAAACATACATCTTTACATACAATGTTCCACAGTTTGACAACACGATTATAGTACGAAAATTGAAAAGTGCTTGTTCTACAAATTTGACCTTGTGAGTTCGACCGTGACTGACAAACGAGACACAGTTACTGACATCAACATTAACATAACCAAACAAAGCCTTGTACAGATACACCAAGTCCTTAACCTCTCTGTCGAAGGTTAACGGCAGAAGGTCCAAGGCCAACAGACGTTCTTTGTAGTTCAGCTCTCCTGTGCTCATCATGATCCATCGCGTCGCCCGACGTTGCACTCTTTTAATCCGCTTTGAGAGTTGGATGTTATTTACGGGCGACCAGACTTCCGTTGCGTAGCATAATTGCGATTTCACATGAGTCAAATAAAGAGTTCGCCTGGCTTACATGTCTGTCAGTTGAGTACATGTCTGTCAGTTGAGTACGGATGTTGTTTTGTACACTCCAGCAATTCAGATTTGTCAACGATTATTGTAAACATTTGCAGTCATCAGTAGAGCTAATTGTATTGTGCAATTTAGTATCGTCGGCATACAGGGCTGTTTCAGTTCCATTTTGCACAACATCTGGGAGATCGTTAATAAAGATGACAAACAATAACGGACCGAGAATACTTCCTTGAGGCACTCCAGAGGTGACTGGTGACCATGTCGAAGCTACACCATCTACAACGACTCTCTGAGTCTTACCATTCAAATAGTCTGCAAACCAACCCAAAACTGATCCTGTCACACCGTAACCACGCAGTTTCTCGAGAACGATTGCGTGATCCACGGAGTCGAAAGCCTTAGCGAAATCCAGATACAAGACGTCCGTCTGAATATTCTTATCTAGATCATGTCCAATAGTGTGGAATACTGATAGCAGTTGAGTCACACACGAGCGTTTTCGAAGAAAACCATGTTGAGCTTGGCTAATGTGATGTAGAATGTGGTCGTAAAAAAGTTGTCGTTCCAAGACTTTACTGACAATTGGCAGTAACGAAATGGGTCGATAGTTTTCCGCTGGCTCCTTCGAATCTTTCTTATGGATCGGTGCCACGTCTGCTGATTTCTACTCGGAAGGAATCCAACTGGATTGTAGGGAGAGGTTGAAGAGATAACAAAGACTCGGAGCGATTTGTTGACTGCATTCTTTTAGAAGACCTTGCAGGAATTCCGTCGGGACCACTTGCTTTGGATGTATCAAGATTTTTTAGGCAATTAGCGACGTCGTGTTCACTAAGCTCTATCTCCCGTAGTTGAGTGTCAGTTCGTAATTGGGACGAAGAGAAGGTGCAGGTTTGATGTTGATTGGGTCTTGAAGGTTGAAACACAGAGGAGAAATAAGAATTGAAAAGTTCAGCTTTGTCTGAAGGCGTTTTTGCCAGATTTCCCTTGTGGGGAATTGTTGGAGTTTGGGTTGATCGATGATGGAAAACCGCCTTATGATAACTCCAAAATAGCCTCGGGTTGTCTTTGTGCCTCCGTGTTTTGTTTTTCAAGATCAAGTCTACGAGTTGCATGTATGTTGTTCTTGACAGCCACAAGCACGCCACCACCGATCTTTCCCACTCTATCGCGCCGGAAGATGGAGTAACCAGGCAACAGTTCACTACTCAAGACAGTTGCGTTTAGCTATGTTTCACAAATACATACAATGTCATACGTTGCACTGTACACTAGATGTTGCAGAAGGGTAATCTTGCATTGATGGAACAAACGCTTTCAAACTTCTCGCGTTAAGGTACAATACATTTAATGCATCCGTTTGACGTCGAAAAGAATGTCCTTGGGCAGGATTCATTTCCGTGGACTTCGTCAAAGGTCCTGGGTTCGTCGCAACATCACCAGCAAGAAGAATTAAGAAAACAAGATGAGGTGTTTTGCGGGCAATTTGTAGGTTAATTCCATAGCGATAGTTCAACGGGGTAATTAAACTTCCGTAACTTTAGATCTCGCGTAACTGTCCAAAGCCAACACATTCTCTCTGGTAGCACAGCAAACTCAGAGTTAATAACAAAATCCGAGGTAGCTTCATAAACACATCCAGTTTTCAAACACAACCACAGAATAAATACAAAGACTATGAAAGTTCCAAATCCGTCTTTTATCCAGTAAAAAGCATTCTCATTCCAATTACGAGCAGTTAATTTTAATTCTGTTCCATTGTTCGTGCGCGTTTTTCGCTTGAAAATTGCGCGTGCGGTGTTTGCTGACGACGTGCGCAAGCCCAACCATAGATTATAGATCATACCAGATGTCTCACTCAGCCAAAATTGTGTCCGCGATTTTTTATGAGCACGCGTTGGCCGCCATTTTGACAGTAAGTGTAATCCACGCCATGAAACGTGAGCAATCACGCATTTTTGGCAGTAAGCGCCATTTTGGCAGTAAGTGTCGCACGCGTCATCTGGCGTGATAGCCTCGCGAAAATCGCGGACACGAAAATCATAGGGATAGATACACAGTGAGACATCTGGTATGATCTATAATCTATGGCCCAACGGTCGAGTGAAAAGCATAAACAAAAATCCAATGACACAACGAAACATTTCAAACAAAATTCACTCACAAATTCACAACAGCGATGAAAGTTTATTCACAATTCTTGATAACAAACACTTTAGACAGAAAATTCCACAGCATATTTTACGAAACAACTAAACACGAACGCTCCAAATAAACACGAAACGCTGCGCTCCAACAACGCTCCAAATAAACACGAAACGCTGCAGCGTCAAAGCGAGCGACTGCACGCGCACGCGTATCACGCGTATCCCCGATCCCGTATTTTCCCCGATCCATGCTACTAACTCTTGACGAAGGGCCTTCGCTCGAAACGTCGAGTTTCTGCTTGTTTTTTAAGGTAGTAATATAACCACTCGGCACAGCATTTTAGTATGTAGGCTACTAGAGTGACATAATTGTAACAAAATATTACGTGAACGTATTCCTCTCAATATCTTGTGCCGCTAATAATAAATTCAATTGCTGATGTGCATAAAACTTTCATTAATTTAATTTCAACAAAAACATAAAAATTACAAAAAATATAAACAAACGTTTCATGATAATATTGATGATGTCCACTCCTGTGCGCATGATTGAACTTTGTTTACATTTTGAACTGCTATATTTGTAAAATATGATATACTAACTGAATATCTAACACTTCTCTGGTTCGCTATACTTGTAAATGAATATAAACTATACGTTTCAATTCAAAAAAGTTCGAAAGATGCAAAATAGGGTACAGTCTTGTCGGCGCATGCGCACATAGGAGTCTCCTGTCGTGATATAAACACTTTAATTAGGTTTCCATTTCATTTTATGTTCTTGCCAAAGCCTGATTGTTGTATCTTGATCATTTATTATACTGTAGAAGCATGAAAATATAAATAGTTGTCGAATAAAGTTCAATATTTTGAATACCAGTGTACCCTACCTTTAATTTAAAAGAAGTCGTTTCAAGTATTTAATTCTTTGGCAGGTATGTTTTCAATTTCTCATGTCTCATATATTGATTCAAAGTACCCTTTAATTCACTTTCACTGTGTTCTTCATCGTCTGTAGACATTTTAATGTTTTAAAAAGTAGCCTTTAAACTTGTCTTTAATTTTTAAAAAATAAAAACATTGGCTCTACGGCTTTAAATCTCGTACGGGCTTATACGGACCGCTCGCGTAGCCAATCAGATTGCAGAAAAGCGTAGAATATGATTTCGGACAGCAAGAAAAAAATTATGTTTTTTCGTGATTGCGATGTTAGGATTTAACTAATCTCACATACTGTACATGAAAACGAGGCTCTGAAGCCAAAGCGACATACCTTGTAGTTTCCAGAATGGTTTCTTCAGACATCAGGATTGTTTTGAAGAATTTTGTAACCAGGAGCAGTTGCCTCTCTGTTCTCTCTGGCAGGAAGAAACCTACGGCCGGTTCTAACCAGTTGTCGCTCGAATCACAAGTTCATGTATCAACAAAGTTCTTCTCTTTATTGTCAAATGCAATCACAACCTTTCTTTCTGGTGTAAACTTCTTTCATTGCAATTATCTCGGGTAACATGTGTGGCTTCATTTTCAGCTCCGGAAGTTTCACGTTCTTGTTTGATTTATTCACTTGTACATTTCTTCGTTACTCACTCTCGCTTTTGTTCTACCATCACATTTCGTACATTCAGTCAGATGCAGTGGTTGGAATTGTCTAATTTCATTGTTTTATAAATCTCATTGTTCTCCACGCCTTCCAGTTTTGAAAATCTCACTGTTCTCCATACCATTCAGTCACGATCCAGTAATCAGAAAGTTCCATAAAATATCTTTTCGTTGTTTGGAAAATCTCACTGTTCTCCATACCATTCAGTCACGATCCAGTAATCAGAAAGTTCCATAAAATATCTTTTCGTTGTTTTGAAAATCTCACTGTTCTCCATGTCATTTAGTCACGATCCAGTGATCAGAAAGTTCCATAAAATATCTTTTCGTTGTTTGGAAAATCCCGCTTTCCCCATGTCATTCATCCAGTCACATTATTAATAATAATAATCTTTAATAATATTATAATAATATTTAATACCTATTTTAACGCACCATAGATGCTTAAGAAGCAATTATTATAAAAACATATGCATGTATAAAACCTAAACTTCTAAAATTTTAAAAGGCTAAAAAATATATTTCGTTGTGTGACAGCCTCATAAGCAAAACAAATTTGTGTAAAGTTATTGTTTATTAAAATTAATCTGTTATTTTTAGGTGGACATTGAATTATGGGTAATTCATCATCAGCACGGAGTGAGAGTAGAGTTGTTATTGTTGGTGGAGGTTATGGTGGAACTAGTGTTGCAATTGACTTAGATAATTACTGTCATGTTATTCTAATTGATCCTAAAGCATACTTCCATCATTGTATTGGCTCATTACGTGCCGCTGTCACCTCTGCTGGCTTTGAAAAGAAAATATTTATTCCGTATGAACCAGCAATCAAGAATGGGGAATTTAAACAAGGCACTGTGATTGGCATTAACACGTCTGAGAAATATGTCACACTGCAGAGTGAAGAAAAGATAGAGTATGATTACTTGGTGTTTGCTTGTGGATCCTCCAACGATTTCCCAGGTATCTCAATAGTGCGTAGAACCGAAATATAGTTAATTTGGCATCAACAATAAAGTCGAATTTTAAATTTGATATAGGAGGCTTTATAAACATCGCAGACGTTCTTATTGCCAGATTGCATTTATTATTCCCAAATCGGGGGAGGTGGGGGGGGGGGATGGGCAATGGAAAATCCAGGGGGAAAGGGTGATTAAAAGACCAAAATCGAGGGGAGGGTTTGTTATATAGTCATTGTCCAAAATAAAAGATGCCATGCACCCCCATGGAGAAAATAAATTCAATCTGCCATTTATTATTTCATATCAATTTATATGGAATACCTTTTTTTTCTAAAGATGAACGTTAATTATTGTTATGTATTTTATTTATTTGCTCTCTTTATGTTTTAGGCAAGCTGCCTTTAGGTTCATCGCAAGAAAATGCAGAACAGTTGTATGAAGAATTGAGGAATAAGGTACTTAAGCCCTGTATGGGCAAACTAGGAAACATTGTTGCGGAAACATTGTTGCGGAAACATTGTTGCGGAAACATTGTTTCCTACCAATGTTTCGCCATGTTTGAAACAATAGTGAGAAACATAGGGAAACGTCAAATGTTTCTGAATTCGCTAGGAAACATTTTTGCTTCTCGGGAAGCAAATTTTGTTTCCGCAACAATGTTTCCACGGGTGGGCAAACTGGGAAACATTTGAGGAAACATCGAGAATCACAAATGTTTCTACAACAATGTTTCCTAGTTTGCCCAGAGCTTTAGACAAGTTCAAAGACGACAATTTTGCTAGCAAAACCAGAGGAACTACTGGCCTAATCGGTAGATCTACACATTCGCGGGTTAAATTATAGAGATGTCGGCAGAGGAGATTAAGGTTTGATTTTTCATCTAACTAATTTTCATGATCACCATTTGAATATTTCCTGTAGGTGAAAGAAAGTAAGAATATCGTTATTATTGGCGGAGGACCAATTGGCATTGAAATGGCGGGAGAAATTGTTGATGAGTATGATGATAAAAATATCCATATTATTCACAGTCGAGACACATTATGTGATCCTGCATTGAGTGCTAAATTTCACAAAAACCTTTTGGATGCTGTGAAGAAGAAAGGAATAAATGTTGTGCTGGGGGAGAGAGTGAACCTTGATGAAATTGATGTGAGTAACGTGCGCTGAATTTGTTACAATTATTTATTTAGGAAAGCTCTTCATCTGTAAGCGCGGATCTTGATTCATTCAATACAAACTTTTATTATTATTTATTAGTTTAATAAAATCGTATCGCAGTACAAACTGAATTACACGATTATAAATATAACAACTAGATAAAATATATACATAGAGTCACAATGTTAAAGTTACTGTATATCAGAGGTTGCCAATTATCTACATTTAAAAAGCCTGTTAAAGGCGGTTAGGTGAAGGACAACGATAAAATAGGTTATAATGTTCAATAGTCTATAGTTCAAAAATAGGTCAATAAGTGTAAAATTACAGGGCATGCTCTGCCCAAAGTCGTGGATTTTCTCTGGGCCATCCAGTTTCTTCCCTCAGGGTGAACGGGTGAGGAACAAAGTAATATCGCAATTGTTGTAACTAAGTAGGTAATATAGGTAAGCACGTGATACTCGATGTAATCTGTCATTGAAAAGCCCGCCAATGGGGAGTTAGCTGAATATTGTATAAAGTCGAACGCTCTGTGCCCGCTCAGGTAGTGACAGGAACAGCTGTGGATTGATAGGGATTCAACTACATGAAAAATACAAGGAAAACGTCGACGTTTCGAGCTAAAGGGGCAGTTCTTTGTTTGCACATGACGTCACTACGTCTCATCAGGCGCCATCTGTGTTGATTTTAAAGTTTTGTCCAGCCGCTTACATCGAAATAGTTGAATTACTTTAATATTTTTGGTTTGTTTTGAAAATATCTTACTGCATGTATTATGGATAGTTTACGATTTCTGGCACAAAACGACAAAGAATGAAGAATATAGATTTTTAGTTGCCAAGAAAATCAACCAAGATGGCGTCGATTGCAAACGAGCGATTATACAAGTAAAACGTCAATCCCCCGCCCTTCGTAGCTGCTACTATTACATTTCCCCCTTTTCCCACCCACGCGTGTTTCTCGCGTGTTTCTCCCGTGCCGGGACGAGGCTGGCTACTATTAACTACGAAGGGCGTGGGATTGCCGTTTTACTTTTATATTTCAGATACTAGTTGAATCCCTTTCAAACTACAGCTTTCTGAATAATGTATAATCCCTGGATTTGGCTTAAAAACAACGACGGTTTGGCTTTTTGGTCATTGTCAACATTTAAAATCGCTGAGAACCCATAAGACAGTAAATTACTTGTCTGGTGTCAATATTTGTACTGTGTTCGATGTTTTAGTTTAAAAGTGGAATCGGCTGGGTGTCTGGTCCACTCAAAGTAACCACGAACAACCCAGAAACAAATATCGATGCTGATCTGTTGTTGAAATGTATTGGATTAAGTTTAAATAGCGGAGCATACCAGTCCAGTCTGTCGGACAAGATGGATGAAAAGAAGCAACTTAAAGTGAATGAATATTTCCAAGTTGAAGACTTTGAGAATGTCTTTGCCATTGGTGATTGTTGTAACAGCAAGGAGATAAAAGAAGCTTTTGTTGCAGGCTTGCATGCAGGTAACAAGTGTCTGGGACGCACGAGCACGTCTTTCTTTCATTCAAGAGTTTAAGATACCTTCAAGAGTTTAAGTTTTCCGACGGAAAATTTTTGTTGGCCAATGACATTTTACAAAATCAGGGTGTTAGCCAGAAGAAAAAAAATTTGGTCCGTTATACGTAAATTGGGAAAATTTTAACTGAACATTTAATATTTTTCCCGAAATTTTTATGTTTTGCCCAATTTCGCATTGATTTTTGACCGACCGTAAAAATTTTGGGGGACACGTGCCAATTTTTCAGTAGACCCAGTTGGGAAAGCCCTCAATTGGGAAGAGTCCGTCAAACGGACAGTATATGGGCTGGCTACATAGATATAGGAGATCTAGATTGCTAACGCATACCTAGCGCAGGCGGGGCCTACATGATAAATCCAAGATGGCGGTACAACAGGGCAAAAAGACTATAGATTCTATTACGAAAATCAGGATTTTTTCATTTTTGCCGTCGCATTGTTTTGAAACTTATTCGGTCAAATTTTATGGTAAAGAGAAACTTACCGCGAAGATTTTGAGCATATATATGACTGAATTGGACGAAAAATCGCAAAATTATCCAGCGATAAAAGTTCGTGTGAAATGGTCAGTTGGTCAGTTGGAGCGTTTTATTGCCAGAAATACTGTGCTATGTTAACATCTAGCCTTGTGAATGGTGTTTTATACTTGCATCTCTCATCATCATCTGCTCTGTCCTCATAATTATGAAAAATGAACTGTTATGTACCCCCCCCCCTCCCTAGGCCTCCTTGCTTGTTAGAGAAGTAAACTGATGAGAGCACTGGATAAGGGTCTATCATCTATGGTCTGTTATAATTTGCTTTCTATGCAAATAGTGAGCAAAAATTAAAGCAAAACTGTACAAGTTACATATATAGTACTATATCAGTACTATACACGAACTTTTATCGACGGATAATTTTGCGAGTTTTCATCCAATTCAATCATATATATGCTCAAAATCTTCGCGGTAAGTTTCTCTTTACCATAAAATTTGACCGAATAAGTTTCGAAACAATGCGACGGCAAAAAATGCAAAAATCCTGATTTTCGTAATAGAATCTATAGTCTTTTTGCCCTGTTGTACCGCCATCTTGGATTTATCATGTAGGCCCCGCCTGCGCTAGGTATGCGTTAGCAATCTAGATCTCCTATATCTATGGCTGGCTAACACCCTGAAAATTTTTTTCTGCGGAAAATTTTCTTGAGTGGAAATGGGCCTTAAAGGCGGTTTTCCACTAGGGGAAATTTTTCGACCGAATCGAAATTTTCTTTTGTCTTACAAGCACTCAGATGGAACTAAACAGAAATCTTTTGAATTTGAACAATACAATTTTCGATTCGGTCGAAAAATTTCGCCTAGTGGAAAACCGCCTTTAAGGCCTGATTCCACGAGGCGGAATTTTTCGACCGAAACGAAATTTCTCTTTGTCTTTTTACAATTAGTTCTGCTTGAGAGCTCATGAAACAAAGAAAAATTTCGATTCGGTCGAAAAATTTCGCCTAGTGGAAAACCGCCTTTACACTAGCGAATTTTTTCGCGCGAAGCGACCTTTTTCCTTTGTCAGTATCACTTATTACGTCAGCAAGACGTGGCAAAATGGATGCCGACAAAGGAAAAAGGTCGCTTCGCGCGAAAAAATTCGCTAGTGGAAAACCGGATTTAAACCTCACAATCGTCGGCCTCTAAGCACGAACAATATGAGACAAATTTGGCTAACCAGCGCTAACGTTTGTTTATATACCCAATTCACAAGTAATAAGAAAGCCGTTTACATAGAAAAAAATTTACAATTACAACTGAGACTAGAGCAAGAAATAAAAACTAACAAAATAATTAGTATTTGTGACAGGAGTCTGAAACAGAACTTGCGTCCCAATTGATATCAAACCCCTTAATGATTAGTGTCTTCAAGTAAAAACACACACACACTTAACCGGAAACTATTCCGGCGGGCAATACAGTACAGTACAGAAGCAGTACAGAAGCATAGAATAGAACTACGCTTTAGAATTATCGACATGACTCATGAGTGAATAACTCTTATACATAATTCTAATGCGTAGTTAGGTTTGTTTTATTCTACGTTTCTGTAAACTAGAACAATAGTAACTAGGCATGTGAGTATTCCAAAGTTGTGAATCGGGTAGAAACGATGTAATTTAGATATTTTTTTTTTATTTATACTCTTTCATTACATAGTTGGAATTTGAAAAAAAAAACCCCAAAAAACAACAACAATTAGAAATACAGAAATTAGAGTAAAGGCTACCTATAATAACTATATAAACTATATAAAAGCTAATCAAGTTAGGTAGCACATGTGACTCAACTTGGAGACAAAACAAGACGGCAGATAAGAAATACAATAGGAAAAGAAAAAGACTTAGCTCACTAATACATCAAAACGTTATCACAGAAGACAATAAAAAGACGACACACACATAAATATTAAGTTATTTACATGGAAGTATAAATATTGTATCATCAAAGATGTCTACAAAACCAGATTCGTCAAAGGTATGATTGAATTATATCTTTTTAAGGATTTGATTTCCCTATCAATAGAATTCCAGATTAGCCTGCCACAATAACGTATGTTAAACTTGCCATAATTTGTCCGAACTTTTGGAAGGTATATAATAGCTGTTTAGCAGAAGACCTCGTATTATAATTATGCACCTCGGTAACATTTTTAAAGAAATTATCAAATATAGTTGGTAAATTGCCGGTGTGAAAATCAAACATAAATAGAGCATTTTGATAATATATCAAGTCAGGAAACTTAAGTATGTTAAGCTGCTTAAAAAGTGGAGAGGTATGACTTTTGAAGCTAGAGAATGTTATAATTCTTACTACTTTTTTTGTAATAAAGTTAAAACGTTTAGGTTGCATGGATGCATATGTATTACCCCATACCGTTAAAGCATATGTTAGATATGGATAAATCAATGTATAGTATAATTGTTGGAGTATTTCTGTAATTCTGTGCCAACGAAGTAGCGAATTTTTGAGATAATACCAATATACCAATAATAAATATGACCCAAAAAAATCAAGAGAACAAGCGCACCAACAATTCTATACAGCAAGTCCACCCCTACATTCAGACCAATAATCCAACTTCTGCACGATATCGAACCAAATCCTGGACCAACAAACCCCTCTCATGCTAACGGGTTGTTTTGATCTGCCTAAGAAGACGAAAGGATTCGTAACTGGTCATCTCAACATCCGAAGTATCAAATGTGGAACTAAACTAGACGAAATAAAGGCTCTCTTAATCCAAAAACCTACCATCCATATTATATCATTCTCAGAAACCTGGCAGACGACATGCTCCTCATTCCAAATTATACGTTCGTAAGACACCACAGATCTGCTAATACCTCTGGTGGAGGTATTATCACCTATATCCATAACGATATTCCATATGTTCAAAGAGCAGACCTGATATCTAACTATGTAGAATCAACGTGCATTGAAGTCAAACTGCGCTATGTATCACTCATTTTAATGATGAACGTGTACAGACCGCCATCCGCAGACAGTTTCATGGCACCTGCCTCGTAGAAATTACGGACAGAATGACATCAGAACATAAAGAATGCTTTATACTAGGAGACTTTAACATAAATATCCTATCAGAGAAATCAAAATCTAACGCATTCTCTAAACGTGTAGACACCTTGGACTGAAGCAGTTAGTGACAGTACCAACTAGAACGGAAGTTCGGTATGTAGATGGAACATTCAACATCACTTCAACTCTTATTGACCATATTTACTGCTCAACCGAAAGAAACATTGCTTCTATTCATGTACCACCACTTTCTCTCAGTGGTCACTTTCCTGTTTTACTCGTGCGTCGTTGTCATGCTTCATCAAGACCAAAAAATGAAACAAACACCATACAATATCGATCATTATCCAACGTCAACGAAGCGAATTTTCGAAATGATTACGCTCAGCTCCTTGCATGGTCCTCATTTGACGATCCATCTGATGCACTCGCACTTTGGTATGAGATGTTTGAAAATATCGTTGAACGACATGTACCGCTACGAACAAAAAAGGTTAAATCTTTACAACTCCCTAAATGGAGGACACCTGAAATCCTTACTGGTATTAGACAAAGAGATGATCTGAACACGGATAGGAACCATTCGATGGGAAACTTTTACACGTCTTCGAAACAAAATAACATCTGACATAAGACAAGCAAAAACGAATTACTTCAAACGAGAAGTCTGCGAGAACAAACATAACTCAAGAAAACTGTGGAAACTAATGAAAGTTGCAGCTATAACCATAACCATAACCATAACCATAACCAGAGCAAAACGACCGAGGAAAACGACTCCTAACAAGATATCCGAAAACAACGACTTAATCACAGATCATGAAGAAATTGCTAAGATATTCAGCCTACACTTTTCTCAAATCGCCAATACTGTCGTTGCTGACACAACAGTTCAACAGCCAAATTTTGATGCCTTACGCCATTTCGTGGACAACCGAGTAACCGACTCCCCCAAAACCACCAATTTACAATTCCACCTATGCCTAACGATTATCTCCTCAATGAAATCAACAACCTGTCATGTCATAAGGCAAAGGGAATCGATGCCATTAATGTCCAACTGCTCAAAATTGGCTGTAACGAAATCCTTCCATCGCTTCTTCACATCTACAACTCCAGCATAACCTCAGGCATCTTTCCAGACCTGTGGAAAATTAGCAAAATCACACCAGTTTCTAAAAAGGGCTCCCGACAAGATAAAGATAATTATAGACCGATCTCTGTGTTGTCTGTATTATCAAAAGTCTTGGAACGCTATTACGGAATGTATCTCATGAACTATCTTAACGAATACAACTTACTTGTAAGGTCTCAGTTTGGATCTCGGCCCTTTCATTCTTGTGAAACGATGTTACTGCAACTTACGGACACGTTATTACACAACATGGACAAAGGAGAACTAAATGGAATACTTCTGGTAGATTTTCGGAAAGCTTTCGATCTAGTTAACCACGAACTTCTTCTAAAGAAACTTGCTATCTATGGACTCTACTCTACAGCGGTTCACGTCCTACTTGACAGAACGAAAGCAACTTGTTTCTATAGGACAATCTACGTCAGATCTCCTCCCAGTACGTAGCGGCGTTCCACAAGGATCATCCCTTGGACCCCTACTTTTCATCCTGTTAACGACATTCCACTTGTAAATACAGAATCCACTTCCTATATATATGTAGATGATAGCAGTTTAACCAATTCAGGACCTTCCATCAACTCGGTAAGAACACAACTACAAACGGGAGCAGACAATGCCCTACTTGAGCATCAGAGAATCGAATGGCAATACATACGGATAAGACCAAAGTTATGCTCATTGGAACACAAAAGAGACTTTCAAACATCTCCGAACCTCTTAACATATCCATCTGTGGGACTACTATCTCCCAATCATCTTGCGAAAAGCTTCTAGGGGTACACATGGATGAGACTCTAAGTTGGAACAAACATATTTCCACCGTTGTGAAGAAATACAACGTCAAACTAGAACTTGTTAAAAGAGCCAAACCCTACTTAACGCCTGATCTTTTACTTTTCCTCCACAACAGTTTAGCAAAGCCAACACTTGAATATTGTTGCAGTGTATGGGGATCCTGTTCCAAAGATGCACTTGACCATTTAGCTTCTGCCCAAAAACGAGCTGCCAGGATTATTTTGAACGCAGACTTCACTACTCCATCCCTAAGCCTATTCAAACAACGTACTTTTAAAGTATAAATGTTAAAACATGTTGATGTTAAAACATCACTCCCATAGACGATACCATCCGCCAACACATCCTTTTAAAAACCTTCAACAGCTTACACGAAATCAGTTCACCTTGTTTCAACACGCTCTTAGAAAAGCCGAAACTCCACAAGGACACTACAAAACAACTTGTGTCTTCCCAAAGCCAGAATCAACGCAGGTAAACGGAGGTTTTCATACCTGGCTCCTTCCTTGTGGAACAAATTTCAAAACTTGGCAAAGAAACTCACCTCACGTACAGCCTTTAGAAGGTTCTGTAAAGAACACTATCAGAACAAATTAGCTAGGTCAACTGAACTAAACATTCAAAGATTATATTAGGGACTTTATTTTTTAATTAATTCTAGATATATTTGCCGATAGGTATAGTTTCAATATTGTGTGATTGTAATGTTTGTCTGCATGTAAATAATGTATTAATGTAATTTTAGAGGACCAGATTGGAAACAAGCGGTAGTTTTATCTGTTAATCCTCGTTAAATAAAGTGTTATTATTATTATTATTATTGCATGTTTTTCACAGCTTTGTTCTTATGCTGGCTATGTTTTTTCCTTGGAAGCTGGCTACAACCAGTAGCCTCAGGTCCCAAAGATTTTAGCTTTCCAAGATTCTCAGTATTCTTGCCGTCCCTAACAATGCTGTTTTTTGTAGAAGTTCTATTCTTATATGTATTCCCAATTTCTCAATCCACTTATCCAGTTTATTACTAACTGCTCCTAAGGCACCTACTACTATTGGAATGACTTCTACTTTTTTCATTGCCCATATTTTCCGAATTTCCCTTTTCAACTCCTCATACTTTTCTACCTCCTCTGTTTCTTTTATACCAATTCTACAGTCCCCTGGAACTGCGATGTCTATGATCTTGCATTCCTTTTCCTTCTTTAAAACCACTACAATATCAGGTCTTCGACATTCAATCACATGATCGCACTGTATGTTAAAATCCCAGAGAATCTTTACATTATCTGATTCAATTACTCCGTTTGGTTGGTGTTCATACCATTTTTCAGCTTTCTCTAGTTGGTACAAACCACATAGCTTCCAGTGTACAATGCGAGCCACATTGTCTGTATTCTTTTTGTGCTAGCTTCTTACATTCACTTATCAAGTGTGTTATATGCTCTCCCTTTTCCCCACAAAGTCTACAGAGTGGAGACTCAACAGTTCTATCTATGTGAAACTTTACATAATTTGTCCTTAGAGCTTGTTCTTGTGCAGCACAAAGAAGTGCTTCAGTCTCAGGTTTCAAGTCTCCTTTCTTCAGCCACCACCATGCCTTCCCCCTATCCACTTCTTTACCTAAATCTCTGTTATATTGTCCATACATTTTCTTGTCAATCCAGGCTTTCTCTAGCTCCTCTACTGCTTCTTAAAATTTTCTTTTGTTTCGCATCTTTCCGTTTCAGTCACACCTGTCTTTGCAATTTGTTGTAAAAGTGGTTCCACACTGTTCTTTACATACCATCCCAAACTGTTCTTCTCTGTATGAATGCATCCTTCACAACTGATCGAACATCTTCCGCCCTTTTTTCTCGGTAAATATAATCGATGAATGTCGCTTCTTGGGTGAAGAGCACCATACAGTGTCATCAGTTTACGTGTTTTGCGATCCATTGCAGCAATTTCATCTTTTGTCCATTTCAAAACACCAGCTCCATACCTCAGCAGCGCAACAGCCCAAGTGTTCATCGCCATGATTTTGTTTCTGCCATTCAGTTTTGATTTCAGCACCAGTCTTAATCTCCTCCCGTAACCTTTACAAACTTTCTCTTCATTTCACCCTCCATAATTTTATCTAATTCCAGTATACCTAGATATTTATATCCATCTTCTTCTACGGACTTTATTGTTTCCTCATCAGGTAGCTGTATTCCATTACATTCCACAATCTTTCCTCTTTTCATTACAAGCATTATTCCACATTTTTTTATCCCAAATTCCATTCCAATGTCTTTGCTAACAATGTGGACAGTTTTCACCAGTGAGTCTATTTGCTCCTTGTTCTTTCCAAACAACTTCAGATCATCCATGAATAGAAGATGGTTGATTTTGAGTTCTTTTCCGCGAAATTCATACCCTACCTTTTCCTTTCTCAGTATCAAGCTTAATGGTATCATGCACATCACAAATATCAAAGGAGATAAAATACCTCGTCTTATATTCACATTTCCTAGGCTTTCTCCCGAAGATGTTAACTCCGTTTTCCAGTTCTCCATACTACCTTCCACAAACGTTCTCACATTTGCTGCGATTTTGAACATACTCATACATTCCACTATCCAGGAATGAGGTACCATATCATATGCCTTGCGATAGTCTATCCATTATTATTATTATTATTACAGCGTTTATTTTTTTTGCCAAATGTGAAATATGATATTTCCAGCTTAAGTTTGAATCGAGTAGAATCCTAAATACTTAATTAATATACTTTTCTTGGTTAATTCGGTTATTTCTGATCAATAATGAAATCTCATAGTTGGGTATCCGCTGGGTTGGATGAAAAAGCACAAAATTTGTTTTAGGGATAATTTATTAGCTGCCAGCCAATCAATGACTTTTTTCAGACAACGTTAGCGAAATTTGTCTATGGACATACAACACAACTCCATCAGGCTGCTCCCGTACTGTTCTAGAACATTTGGAACACTGTTCTGGAACGATATAAAATGGAGTGCACACAGTGTTCTGGAACAGTGTTTAGTTTATTATATATGCGTGCAACCATGCATTACTATACTCATTAGTTATTCGCATAATAAATCGTATGATGATTTGCTGTTATTTGCATATCTAAGTATGCTTTTGCAATGTTTTTACTCGTTGATTTTGCCCAACCCTGGCATTTAAATAGCATATAATAAGTATATATGTCGATATATAGCGGTTATTAAGGGGCCATTCACAAAGGATGTCCGAGCCGAGGGGGGGGGGGTTGAAAAATCAGGACAAACTCGGACATAGGGGGGAAGGGGGTTTTTAGCAATCCGTATGTCCAAAATTTAAAAAAATTCAAAACAAATTTCTTTTTCCTCTATTTTGAACTCCCTTCCCATTGTGAAATTTGCATTTTGAACACTTCATAATATTATCTAATTCTTTCCTTCAATGATGAATTCAGCAGTGGCATCAAATAAAAGCTTTCTGCATGTATAACTCTCCTTTTCTATACAATAAGTTTCAATCTCGTTCCGAATAAGTTTATCCCGTTGTTACAATAACACAGTTGTTTGTTTTAATTAATAATTTATATGTTTTTGTATTCACATTTATAGTTATAAAAAAGTTCTAAAAGTAAAAAAAGTTTTTTACTCTTGACATATACAAGGTTGTGTCAGTTTTTGCGAGGCATGGCGGATGTCCGGGGGGAAGGGCGGGGGGGGTCACTAAGTCGGACAATGCCGGACAAGGGGTGGAGGTGGGGTCTGAAAATCCATCATTTGGCCGGACGTCCTTTGTGAATGGCCCCTAAACAGAATAAACATTCACATAATTTGATATTGGAACATGATTGATTATAAAATTCAAATAACTTTGCCTTTCATTATATAACATTTTATA